TTATTTACAGTATTACTAGACACCTTTCCATATAAATCTATTGAATGAAATTTCTGCTGAATTTTGTATGGTGGTTTATTATTGCTCTTTGTTTTACCCATAAAACCTGAATAAGGGTATTATGTTGGATTCAGGCTACCATGAGTAGAGACTGTGGAAGGGATCTTTAACACCTTTTGTTCCATTCTGCACCCCTGCGCCCTCCAAGAAGTTGCTTAAGAGACCAGGAAACCCTCAGAAATGGTGCAGGATGCAACACAGGGTGGCCGCAGTAGGAAGGGGCTATCAACTGCAGACTCCCCCCACCCAATGTTGTACAAACTATTCCTGCAGTACATATCCAACCCATTGCATTTGCTGCCTATTTGATAAGATAGGACATAAATTCATTAGCCATTTAACAACCACTGAATTTTATCTACATCATATAAGTATTTAAAATGAATAACCATCATTAACACACCAAATTTTCTGCAATATTCAAGTTTCAAACAAGTTTACTGAGTTTTAATACTTTAGAAAAACTTTAAAAAATACATTCAACACATCTTAAATCAAATTCAAACTTTAAAATGTACCTGTCAACCACAACTGAATTACTGAGCAGTCTTTGCTTCTGTAAGATAAAGGAAGTGGAAATGCCTCTCAAAATCTGTACCTATCAAAACATGTGCTGCATTTGAAAAATATTACCATTACCAAGAGTTGCCTGGGCAGGGCCAGAAAAATCTCTGGTACCTGGTCACATGGGAATAGGAATGTCTACCATTTTTCAGTCCTGCTCACAGCCCTGAATTTTTTAATATGTAACTACCTCCCTTGCACTTCAGCTACACAGCGTAGTACCTTTTGAAAGTGCATTTATTTCCCAAAATAGTAACAATTGCTTGAAGTAAACTTGACATAGATTTAATTTGGCTGATAACAGCTTGTACCGCAAAACTAATTAGCGAATGTTTTGGAAACTTTTTAGTATTAACAAGGCCCATTTAATATCTGGAGAAGACTGATAAGTGCCTTTGTATTAATAACCAGGTAAAGATTTGAAGGTGACTTGTCGATATTGCTATGTCCATAAGAGGTGGAAAGCCTACTACTTCCTTGCAGTCCTCAAGCATGTGAGGACTGCAATATGCCCGCCATCATTTACTTCAGGGAACCAGTGCACATCTTCCAATTTCTCTCTCCTGTATAATGATCCAGTATAGTAATAATTTGGGTTTTAGGGAGGATGAAAAGGTAAATCAGAGCCAGATTAAGACATGCTGAGGACTATGTCAAGTTTCAGAGGCCCCATGGCATTACCAAAAATGGTAATTTTACATAGATATATAAATTTGTATTTAGAGGCCTCTGATAACCTGAATTGCTATGGTGTGGTTTACTTAGCTTGCACATAAAATCCAGCTCTGAAATAGATTATTCAGGAGACGTATGCTAGCTGGCATGCTGCAACTCACACACCTGTGGAAATGAAGAGGTAAATGGACAACATTGCAAGAGGCTGGTCACCGATGAGGTCAGTTTCCTTAATGTTAACTACTCTAATGGAGAAGTTTACATGCCTTTAGCATTGTTTTTGCATTGGTATACCTTCTTGTAGCAGCAGACTTATGAGCCTAAATGCTAACTTTCTGTCACTCACTATGATGTACTAATGGCATGCTCTGTTCTAAAACATACGAGGAAATTCTTCTCAAAACGGGAACTAGAAGAGACAGTAGAATAAATACAACAAAAGATTATGTGGCACCTTAAAGACTAATATTTATTGTGGCATTAAGGTTTTGTGGGGTAGAACCCACTTCGTCAAATATTAGATTTGAATGAATGACAGTGACTTTGCAACACCACAGTACAAATATGCCAAACCCTAAAAGTTACAAATGGATATTAATTGAACATAAAAGGCCTGAGATATATATATGCGCCAAAAAGTAATGCATGATACTGGCACCAATATGAATAGAGGAGGCTAATAAATAGTTGAATTTCAAGAGTATACTCAAGAATCTTTAAGAGGAGAATTGTAAAATTGTGAACACTGAACAGCTCTGAAGGTTGCTAGTCACTTAATCTGTTTTAAGATACCTTAATATGAAGAACCATAGATGCCTGACCCATTGCTATTTATGTAAATTTCCCTTTTGCAGTCTGACAAGTATAGAAGAACCATTTAATGCTTTGCTAGGTTCACTAATGCATGTACAATTCATAAAACATTACTGGTAGAGCTGACTGTAATTCATTAAAGCAAAGAAACTTCAAAAAGGTTACCGTGTCTGTTAACAAAATAGCAGCATGATATTTCTATGTATGATTCCCAAGGCTACAAGAACCATTTCTGTCTCACCATGTTGTTACAGACTGCCACAGAATATCACTTCACATATCGCATGATGGGGTTAACATCCAAAAAATGTGAATGTAGCTAACATGCTGGTAAAGACATCTCATGCATGTATACCTGTCAGGCAACTGTGGCTGGCTGCAATTCCTTGTTAAAGGAACATTTCATAACAAACCTTGGCTTGCTTTTTGCATTGTGCAAAGTGGTCCTCTTCTGTCAGAAGCCTAATTAAATCACATTTTAATCCGAAAGATTGAGCATAATATGATGTATTTCTACATAATCATATTCCACTACTTATGATGCTGAATGCATTCAGTAAGAAATTTCAGGTCTTCAATGGTGTTGCTCTTGTTCTAAAAGATGTTATCAAATCTTTCAAATATCACTTAACACCATTTTGGAGCACAGCTAACCTAACGGACAAGTGTCTGACTTAGACACAATAAACAAGGACAAATGATTGTTTGATCCCATTAGTACTGCAAACAATATGTTGCACTTCACATTCCAATAAACAGCCAAGGTTCAAATATTTAGTATCTTTCACACCGAACAAGAAGATATTCCTATTAAAAATGGGTGCAGCCACTAATCTCAGTCTTATACAAACACCTTTCAGTGGATAATCTTTCAGTATTTTAATAGCATTTAAAGCATTAGAAGAGCATCCGAGTAAAACTGCAGTGGCAGGCCTGTGCGCATACACAGTCCCATGTAGGACTGCACAGAAGCCACTATGATGAACCAGCAGTATGTTGCTTTGGCTAAAGCTACTGGCTTTGTCAAATGCCGACTACACAACATGGGAAGATTATTATCCAATATAGTTAGTTGAACACCATCAGCTATCTATAAGCCTCCTCTGCACAAATCACACATCACATCTGGATCCCACATAATATCCATTTTAATCTTGACCTTCCAGATATTATTTAATTTTACTGGGCTTCTCTTATGTTTCTACTGTTAATCATTGCACAACCACTGTATCATTCATTTGTGTTGTCAATCCCCTCTGGTTCCTTACTGTCTACTGGAAACCCATGAGCCATGGATTCCATGTGCTCAATGGGGCTAGTACATGGCAAGCTATGTCTCAAAAGGCAAGATTAGCTCTTAAAAAAATAAATCTCCCACTGATTGCATGCAGCTTCTTGAGCATACATAAAGTAGCTCAAAGGATCATAAGCTTTTATTTGCTGGTGCAGAAAGCTTTTAGATTGGGCATTTTGATCCTTTGGAGACATCCCTGCAGTTTTTTCAACAATGCCATACTACCAGTAATGTGTAATATTTTAAGCAGCTTATATCTTCTAGCTATTATATCAGAATTGTATCAAACAACATTAATTAAAATTTGCACAATAGTAACTTTTTTTAAAAGGTAAAAAAAAGAAAAGAGGAAATCTACAAATACTATGGCCATGTCTTCACTGGAAATATATCCATTCTAATAGTGCTCAGCAAATTGCTCCCAGAATGGGGTTTCTAGTACCATAACCAATAATACTGATGAATGGAAGGTTAGCCTTTTCTTCTCTCATGTGGTAGCTTGTTTATTACATAGACATTTTTATCAACCTATGGCAAGACAGATCAAGAAGGCAAGATTAAAAGTTTCTAAAGGCAAAGTTGAGTTTCAAACTTCACCTAACAAGTAAAAAACTAGATATAAAAAAGTTCACAAAAAGCATCATGTTAAGCCACAACAACGATCATTCAACTGATCATAACATTAGATACTACAAAGTATCTAGAAATATAATCTGGAGCTATCCAGATATCTAAAGTGCTTGGAGTGATTCTCAAAAGCAACTATTTGCAATTAAATGCAACTCATGTCTAATGTTTAACATCAGTCCTTAGGGCGGTTTTAAAATTTGAAGTAGGAGGATGCCATATTTTCCCAATACCACAAAATCTTGTTCCTCCAGATAAGCCCTGATAGCTACAAAAAAAGTTCATAGCTGGTTATTTATCAAGACAAAGATGTAGACAATGATCCCATGTCACTCCTTTCACTGCTCACCCCAACTGTAAACAAGATGCAGAGTCCCTGACTTGTCCTGTTTCAGTAATATCTCTTAAATAAAACATTGCTAAATTGTCAATGCACATTTAAAAGTACCACCATTTTCTTTTTTTTTAACATAATATCTCCTATAGATCAGCAGATTAAGATAGGACAGTTTTAAAAGTGGCTGTGTGCTGAATATAAAGCTTAGGATCCTTTGTCATCTCTTGAGATTTTTGACGCCAAGAGCCATCTGCTGAACAGGTACTGATGTTTCACTAATTAAACTGTGATGAATTTGGCAGATGCACAATCCCTTCCACGATAGTAGTTATCTTCCTCTCTTCTAAAAAGCTTATTCCTTTAGAAAGCTCCTCTGAAGTGTAGAAAGTTTATGATTACTTGCATCTTCCGAAACTTTGTTCTTTCAGCAGTACAGAAAAAGTCTCTCCCAAAAACAGAATCAGATTCCCAAGTTGGTTTTTTCCTTATTAAATATTAAATAGATTGAACACAGCTAATTTCCAGCCAATATACATTCTGAAATACTGAAATCAGTATAAAACCAGGATTTTGACAAAGTGAAAATTACTCCAGTTTCTTCCAAACTCATCCATTGCAGTTTGTCTTTGGTTAGGAAATTTTTCCAACAATTGGATTTTCTCTGTAAAAAACAAACACAAGTTGCACTTGACTCTTAGTCTTAGTTTTCCTTAGTGATAGGTGATCTCCCCTAACTTGAATTATTAATTAAAAGCGTCCTCTTAGAACACACTTGAAAAAAGCTCAGTTTTTAAATCAAGCTTTTAAAATTGATTCAGAACGTAAAGCAAATTTTGCACATGTGTAGAATGTGCTAATAAAGTCTATTTCTAGTCTACTCATGGGCACTATTTGATTGCAGTTGTGGCAGAGCCAAAATATGCTCTCAAAGGGTCAATTAAGGCTCCACAGATTTGTGGAAACTCCAGAAATGTTCTGGAGCTTCAGATGCCCTCTCCCCAAACCCCTGTATTTGTCTGACCACAGTCAGAGATTCAAGCAAGAAAAAGTTTTTTGGAATTACCTTTTACATGAAATTCATCCCACATAAAAACATTTTGTATTTGGTGAAATACTTGTAACTCTATAGATGTTTATTATATCAGGACATATGGTTAAAGATTCACAAAATTTAATGGTAGTGCTATTACCATTATAGCATACCCACTGACTTTATGTAGTTCATGGTTCTTTTTTGTCTGTTATGGTTGATATTGTTATTTCAACAAAAGTTTGTTTAAAAATATTTTCCATGGCGTATTAAAATATTATTTCAATCCTTGCCTCTAACGTTTCAGATGTTTTACATGAGGACCATTTTCATTCGGGAAAGTTTTCAAATCAATTCTTCCCATGTCAGATTTGAGGTTACACAGTTAAATGATGAATATTAAAGCACATATGAACTGCCCTCAAATATCTCAATATAGGGAATTGATCTTCCTTTAGGTATTTTTGTGCCTATCCCTGGTAACCCAAAGAAAATGATCTAATGCACATTAAGCGTCGCGCTTTACTTCAACACTTCATAAAAAGGGTTATATGGAAGCGCATGGGCAGAGCCATTTAGCAGGATTTGGATATGATGCAGCAATGAGGTGTTGTAATTAAATTGACTTATCAGAAGTTGGATGACCAGGGTTCATATCTCCACTTAGCCATGGAGGAAGCTGATGGTTCTTCGGCCAGTTGCTCACTCTCATCCTAACTCATCTCACAGGTTTATTGTGAAGATATGATGAAAGAGTGGGAAACTAAGCATGTTGCCTAAGCTTCTTAAGGAAGGGCAGGATAAGAATGCGATAGATAGGCAATACACAGAATGCCAATAGAGATGAGAACTTTTTGGAAATTTTTGAAGCCATCTAACCCCCCTCAAAAATGAGGGAAATATGGAGGAAAACTGAAATATTAATCAAACCTTAATTTGTTTTACTTCTTTAATCCCATAAAATGCAAAATATATACCTTCATTAGCATGTGAAATTGCAGTAGTTGGCATATTTATGGAATTTAGAATTACAAATGCCTTCATTTTCTACATACAGAATTGTGACTATAAACAATACTTGAGAGTACAAGCTGAAAGTTGCTGCATCTTATACTACTTCTGCATATAAATCTTAGTTTTTGCTATGAGAGAAGCAGAAAAGACAGTTTGAAAACAGAAAATAAATTATGAATTAAACAAAAGGATGTATATTATATGGACTGAAACAGCTTCGTGCAGTCCTACCAGGCTAACAGCATATTGGGTATTGAGTTAAACAATGAATTTTCAAAAGTGTGGTTTCCGGTTTATGGCGGCGCGCTGAGAAGTCGCACCTCCTGGACCTTCCAGGGGTGAAGCTGCGCTCTGGCCGAAGGAGGGGGTGCGCAGGATTGTCACCCCGCAGAGACCTGGCTGAAGGGGCTCTGGCCATGGGACTCTCGAGGGGTTGCCTCTTCGCCGGCGCGATGCCGGGGAATTGAGGCGCCTCTCCATCCCGAAGGTTCTTTGTGCTATGAGACCGAATGGAACCAAGCGACGCTGACCGGGGCAAGCGCAGGAGGTCGAGCGAAAGAAACAGAGCTTAAACGAGGTCTGAGGACCAACTATGAACGTGAGTTCAATCTAAGCGTTTAAATAAAAGGAAAAGGAAGCTCCCCAAACCCCCCATGGAACAGAAAGTGAGGCGAGCGGGGGAGGGACGCCTCCCAAATGCACGTACTTAAAAGCAAATTGGAGGGGGGGAGCGGAAGAAAAAGCGAATAAAACTGTTAAGACTTACCAAGGCGAGTTCGAGCAAATAAGCACATATTCAGAGACTTTTAAAATATCGGTTAAAGTAAACAATCCACTAAGATGGCAGGGAAGAGGACGGAGAAAGAGAAATTTTTAAAAGCGAAAGGGACTGAGAGCCCAAGACCAGAAGCAACCAGCGAGCTGGCAAAGACATTGGTGAAATCCATGCACCCTCTGCTGGACCAGATGAATAATCTCAAGCAGCAGCTGTCAACAATGAATCAATGTATCACCACCCAGCAAACACAGTTGAGCGAGACACTTAAAATGATGAATCAAACAGCTGAGAAGGTGAAAGAAGTGGATGCCCCTGCACAAAAGGTGAAGAAGAAAGTACAAAAGCTGGAAAAGAAGCAAATCTCCATGGAAGGTCAGCTGTTACAACTACAAATGGAAAAAGCTAATTTGATTCTTCGCTTTTAGGGCCTTCCAGAGACTAAAGGAGAGAATCTGAAGGAGAAGATGAGTGAATTATTGGCCCCAATGACAGAGATGAAGGCGGAATCTTTGCTGAGCAATATGGATGTGGCCAGCAGGTCATATTCAGGATATATAAAGAAAAACAATCTGCCTGAGGAAATAGTGATAAGATTCTCAAAGAGATGTGTGAGGGATGCAATCCTGAAAGCGGCATCTGGAGCTCCTTTGAAAGTTGGAGATAATGCTATCAGAATCCTAAAAGACATTCCATTTGAAATAAGACAAAGGAGAAAGAAGTACAAAGATTTAATTTTTTTTCTCCAGACAAACACAATTGGATACAGATGGCTAACACCAGAATGTGTGATCTTCAAAATCAAGGATAAAAAGGAAAAGATTGACTCTGTTCAGAAAGCACGGAAATTTTTGAGAGTCCACATGGGAGAGCCAGAGGAGGAAGAAAAAGAAGGGATGGACAGTAAGTCCAGCGGCGAGCTGGACTCGGGGTCTTCTGGAGAGGACTCTCTATCAGAGAAAGGGGCAGCCGCCCCTAAAAGTCCTTATAAACTGCGGAAGAGACTGGGCAAGGGGAAATGAAGGCTGAAGGACTCTGAATTGTGCCTTTGAAAAACTTTTTTTTAATATACTAGATTTTTTAAAAAAAAACTCAAATGCGCGCAAGCTCCCTTGGGTGCTTGTGCGCATCCGTGGAGACTTTGAAAAAAAACACCTTTTTCCGAGGGGACATGGGCGGGCGCCGGAACTACCACCAGAAACACGATCAGACGCCCACCCTTGCCCCGCGGTTTCAGGAAACTAGTACCTCAGAGGTACTAGTTTTTTACCATGCATCTTCCGCGGGAAGCCTCGGGTTTGCCACGGGAACTCGACGCTTCCCAGATGTGGCGGTGAGATCGCACCCGGAAAATCCGCCTATCTTCCGTCCCTCTAGCGTGCCTAATGCTCTGTGTGACCGCAGCCAGTGATAGTTAAGATATGAAAAAGATAATACTATAGTTGAATCAGTTCATAATGGAATTAGCGTGATTTAGAGATAACGTGTGCTAAGGTAACTAGATTATCTCCTCTCTTGGGTTTTTAGACAGTAGTGGGTATCTTTTCTTTATCCCTTAATGTAGTCCCCTTCCCTATTTCTGTTGTAGTTTGTAGTCTTTATAAAAATGTAATAAAAAAATCCCCTCCGGGGGGCCAATTTCTTTTTTTTCAAAAGTGTATCATATACAGATGGCATATTAATTGTGGACAAAATTGTTCATGTTGTTTAAATAAACATTTTTGAAAACATATTATATATGCTTATACACATGATTTTCTAGTGTTGCTATATAACTTTCACACATGGTCCGACTAAAAATATCCCATCCACTAGCTCTGAAAGAGAAAATATTTCAAAGAGTTTTTCCCCCTAAAGCTCCCCCAAATTTCCAGTTTTTCAACTGGAAAACCTGATAGTGGCTTCAGAAAAAATTAACATCTCTATACTTGGGTTTTATTCAACCCTTTCTTTTCACAAGCAGCAATCATGTATGTGAAGTGGCAAGAATTTTTTGACTGATATTTTAGAATTTGATAGGTGATATACCACACCAGGATATATTCTCAAGTTGCCAAGAGCTGTACCACTTTGAGGGTTAAATACTTACTCACTGCCATATTTAGCACTAGATGACCTCTTCTTCTGATATCTGTCATGATGTTCAGACAACTTTTCTACTATAGATATTATTTGCTGAAGTGTCTGAAAAGTTGCTACAGAGTCCTCAATTGTGAAATGAGAATAGTCATCTGGTTCCTTCCGTGGACCCTGATAGACTGCTATGCTTCCACAAGCCTCTAAAAATAAAAATATTAGAGACATTTTCATTTCCATTAAACAATGCTTCTGTCTTTAGAAGTAGAACTTTAATGAAACAATACATTTTAAAAAGTGAATAAAGGAAGGATATTTACTGAGCATAATATTTCCCATTTATGCTGTATTTAATCCTCACAGATTTAACAATTTTCTAAACACCTAGAATCTTGCAAAAGCTGATCACTACTACTGTGCTCACGGGGGAAAAGCTGCCTGCTTATATCAGAGCGATAAAACAAGCATGTTCTGTTAAGAGGCATGTAAAACCAGAAAAAATGTTAAATACAAGTTGTGTGCACATTTACAACCTTATTTAATGCAGTAAGTGGGAGACATACCTGTGAAGTGCTTTGAGAAGCACAGCCTAAAATAGCTGAAGGGGGGAATATTTGGTTTCTCATGCAATATTAGAACAAAATTTTGTCCAAAACTAATTTTAGAATAAACTGGACACAGGAAATGGATAAGGGCGAATATCATAGAACTTATTTTTTACCAGTACTATTTTTAAGAAGCTGGTGCTACTTTTATGAATTGCTATATCAGTACCTTGCATCTTCTGCAGCTTTGGCATGTTGACAGCAAAAAGTGAGTAGATTCTCTCAGTTTCTCTATCACCATCAATCTCTATTTGAATATCAGCAGGTCCACCTCTACAATTACAAGGTATAAAAGAGACAGACTACTGTTATTAAAAGCCATTCTGTAATGGAGTTTAAGCATCTTAACACCAGTGATCTTCGACGTGGTCTCTGTGCTTCACACCCATGGGTTTAGTGTGTCTGCACTGAACCTGTTGGTACTGTAGAAAACTCTAACGGATTTTCATGCCAGCTCCTCGGGCATGTGCGGACATCCCGCCAGTTCTCTTCTGACTGCTGCGCTGTTAATAGCTCTTCGTCGGTTGGTGAGATCTTTCTGTGGAAAGCTTTCTGTCAGGTTTTTCCTTAACTTTTTCTCATTGTTAATGTTCTTTTTCTTCGGACTTTTGTTTTGCTGTCTTAAAAAAAAAGTTGTTTTTTTGTGAGGGGTGTCTTTTTGGGGGGTTTTCCTCTTTGGTTTCCCCTCTTTTTCCCGCCTTTGGGCACCCCTCCTTTTCCCCCTTCCCTTATTCCTTTGTATGGCGAGGAAGTGGGGATTTTTTAAGAGGTGCACCTCTTGCGGCAGCAAGCTCATGCCTCCCGACAGCCATTTGCTCTGCATCCTCTGTCTTGGGGAATCCCATTGCCCAGATTCGTGCCCACATTGCGCTAAGTTTTCTAATCAAAGGCGCAAGAACAGGCGGCACGCCTCCGAGTGGCCCTTCTAGAATCAGCCTTAGCACCGTCTACTTCCCCATCGACCGAAGCTATGGACTCTGAGCAACAAGCTAAGTCTTTGGCCTCGATGGTCAGTGTCCATCCGATATTGGCATCCGATATTGTTTGATCGACATCGAAGCAGTCAACCCCGATTCCCCAGTCTGTGTCCTCTACTCCAGCTAAGAACAAGAAGGACAAGTCGGAGAAGCGACACAAAAGCACGACTACAGGCAGTAAGAAACCCCACACACCATGCTCTACGACTGAGGCCACGGGCCCTGCGCTTAGCTCTGCTTCTCTGGTGCAGCCTGACCTCGAAGTTCCAGTGTCGGACTTGCCTAAGGTGCTCTCTGCTCCACCACCTATCCATATGCTGGATTCACCTATCAGGCAGCTGAACCCCCTGATCATGGACCAGATTCTGGAAACCCAAGATTTCTCTAATATCGAGGGCATGGAGATCTTGACTGCCCATTCTCCACGACGTGACCACTCCCGGTCTAGGTCCCCACACTATACGGACCAATCTTACTCATCTGTTTATCCCAATGCCTTGTGTTGTCTGATCGCCGATACCGACGCACCGCATTGCCAGACCATCGATACCGATGCTCCTCGTTTTTATGATGACTTTCTCAGAGGCCGTTGCTCATTATGCCAGGTTAGGTCGCCAGACCATTCCCCTAGAGAATACCCACCTGTCTTGCCTCCCATGATGCCTTGGGATCAGTGCCATCTCCAGTATTTATTTGGTGCGTTTCCTCTGTCTGCCTCGATGCCCTGGCTTACCCCAGCGGGGCTTTCAGATTGGGACTGGTATTCGTTGCATCGCTCCCGTTCTCCAAGGTCCTTCCAGGCTCCCCCATCAGCCTCATTGTCTAAGCCTAAAGAGCCCTGTCCAAGGGATTCTCAGCGTCGATCATCAACATTTCCGGCACCGAAACGTTCGACACCGACAGATTCTTTCTTTTTCTTTTTTTGCTATCGTCTTTATTATTTATAAGTTTTCAAAAAAACCATACAATAGAAAAATAAACAAACCTTGTACAACAAGATAATAGACTTTTGGAGTCATATGTAATGATTATTGCTTAGTACACTAATTCTTATCTATCCAGATATAAAACTTTTTCCATCTACATTTAAACAGCGCATCATCTCTACCCTGCAAAATTGTAGATAATTTATCCATTTCTACCACATCTAATACTTTATAGATTAATTCCTTCCTAGAGGGTATTCCCTCTAGTTTCCAATACTTGGCAAACAGAATACGTGCTGCTGTGATAATATATGTAATGACTTATTTCTCATCTACTCTATATTCATCAGGTAGCATATTTAACAAAAAGAGTTCCGGGGATAAAGGTATATCCATCTCTAGAATTTCTGAGATAAGTTTATGTACCTTATGCCAATAACGCTGTGTTACATTGCACCTCCACCAATTATGGTAGAAGGTGCCCACATTATTTTTACATTTCCAGCAATTCAACTGCATATTCTGCCATCAAGTCAATTTAATATTTTGCTTCACAAGATTGTCCTGCGAAATCAGATTATCATCTCCATCTAATAGGGTTTCATAACTTACCAATTTAGAGGGTTTCATGAGAGAGGGTTTAATAAAAACTTCTAGTGGTGAGATCCATCTCGGAGTTTGATTATAGAAATGCTCTTTAACTTCTTGGCAAATTTTATTTAGTGCTCCTCTTATAGCATGTTGCTTGAAGTTAGAATATATATTTTCTTTTTCATAGCATAAGCGTGCATGCCATCACATGGCTAAATCATAACCCTCTAGGGTTAAGAGTTTTTTATTTTCTAACGTTACCCAATCTTTAATCCATCCCATTACCGCTGCCGAATAGTATAATTTCCAATTTGGAAGTCCAAAGCCCTCTTTTATCCTGCAATACTTTCCACTTCATACGTGCAGTTTTGTTTGACCATACAAATTGTCTACAAATTACGTCTAGATCTTTAAAGAATTTAACATTCCTCAGGACTGGTTTGAGCAAGAAAAAGAAATCTAGGTAAAATATTCTTTAGTAAGCACCAACGGATTCTTGACATCAGTCACCTACACCTCCAGTACTGAGGCGGCCGATATCGACGCCTCCCCCACCACCTCCACCTAAAGCTAGACCTACAGAGCCACTTGTACTACCTTCTCTTTCTGTCTCCAGCTCTTCAGATTCTTCTGACGAAGACTCAGACACTCATAGTTCCCCTGAGGATCCCTCTCCAAAGCCTACGGTCTCGGAAGATCTACCTATTTCGCCCTCTGAGGACCTTACCTCTTACGGTGACCTGATAAAGAGGATGGCTCACTCTCTTGGCTATCTGTAATGCAACCACAGCCATCGGTTACTGATGCAGTCTTTTCACATGGTCCAAATTGATATGCCCACATCTATCGCCTTGCCAATGTCATTGGTACTACTACAAGCGGCTAAAGCCTTGGGACAAGCCCTTTTCTGCACCTGTTTCTTCTCGCTGCCTGGATCACATGTATAAGGTCCAGGAGGCTGGTGCAGAATTTCTGGTTAACCATCCTAAACCCAATTAGATGGTGGTCATTTCTGCTTCTAAGTCCAGGAAGACAAACTCCACCTCTTCGGATAAGGAGAGCAGGAAATTAGATTCTTTTGGCAGGTGCTTTTATTCTGCTGGTGCATTAGGTCTCAAGACAACTAATTGCCTTGTGTGTATAAGTTGCTATCAATATGCGCTGTGGAAACAGTGAACTCTTTACCTTTTTGTCAGAAGATAAACGTCAGGTGGCTTGGAAGATCCAAAAGGAGGGTCTGGTTTTAGCCAAGCAGCAGATCAACTCTTCCAAACATGCTCTTGACACCTTTTTGAAGACTATGACATTTGCCATCACTCTCTGCAGGCACTCCTGGCTTCATACCACAACTTTGCAATTGGATACTAGGGCTTATATCAAGGATCTCCCCTTTGATGGGTTGGGACTTCTCCATGCCACAACTGATACTGTCCTACAAGACATGGACACAAGTATTAAAGCTTCACGCACTCTGGGTGTTTCTTCTTCTTCAAAGTTCTTCAAGCTGCGCTCTTGGTCAAGGCCTTGGTCCAAGTGAGCCTACCACAGGAATTTTCCTGACAGGTCATGGAGACCCCGCACATCACCCGGCCCTCAGAGATCAACTTATACGCCTAAGCAAAAGTATTCCGCTGCTCAACAGTCTAACCGTTCCAAAGCTGCTAGACCGACCAAACAGGGTCTTTGACCGCCTTTATCCACCTTGCCACTCCCACTCGCCTTCTACCTTTCCTCTTGGCTTGGTGCAGAGTTATTACAGACACCTGGGTCCTTTCCATCATTTCTCAAGGGTACTTCATAGAGTTCGTTCAGCTTTCAACTACACCAGTTTTCACCGTCACTCCGCTGTCCCGTGTCCTCCTTCTCCTTCAATAAGTTGCTACTTTGCTCCGCAAAGATGCTATAGAAGACTGCGGTACCACTATGGTACTATAGAGCAGTATAATAGCTATAGTACCACTGCTGGACTGCGGTACAGTGTTTTATTCCCGTCATTTTACTGTCCCCAAGAGGGACAGTGGTTCCAGGCCCACTCTCAACCTCAGGATGCTGAACTACTTTATACAGTACAGTCGATTCCGCATGGTGCCTCTTCATTCCATTCTTCCACTTATCCGCAGAAACACCCGCTCCCTGCTCAGCGACCTACGACTTCAGATAAACGAAGAGAAGTCCCATCTTCACCCATCGCAACGGGTCCAGTACATAAGGAACCTTCTGGATTCCGTAGCCTTTCAAGCTAATCTTCCAGAGGACAGAGCGATAACCATCGTCACTTGGTCGTGACAAGTTCGATAGCTCCCTTCATCATCAGCTCTCCAAATTCAGCGTCTCCTTGGACTCATGGCTGCAACTACTGCGGTTCTTGCCTTTGCCAAATTAAGGATGAGGCAGCTTCAGTTGTGGTTTCTTTGCAAGTTTCGCTCAGGCTCTCAGTCCCAATCCATTCTTCTCTCTCCTCCACAAGATGTCAGAGACTCACTATCTTGGTGGGGCTGCCATTCCAACTTGCTTCAAGGGGCTCCCTTTCACTGCCCAGCCCTGCAACTAACTCTAACAACAGATGCTTCTCAGTGAGGCTGGGGCCCCCACCTCAGAGGTCTCAGTATCGGCGACAAGTGGACTCCTCATCTTCTACGCCGCCATATAAATTATTTAGAGCTCCTAGCCATACAGTTCGCCCTGCGGGCCTTCCTGTAGCTGGTAAAGGGCTGGTGTGTAGCCGTCCTAACGGACAATACTACTGCGCTCAGTTATGTCAACTGCCAAGGGGGCACAGTCTCCCATTGTCTCTGCTATCTGGCACTTCAGCTTTGGGACTGGTGCATAGAGAATGATATCTTTCTCTCCGCAACCCACATACCAGGTTCCCTGAATGTTCATGTGGATCTCCTCAGTCAAGGCCATGTTCTTCTCCACAATTGGGAGCTCAATTGGACATACCTTGCACCAGTCTTCCATCTCTGGGGGTTCCCAGAAGTCGACGCTTACGCGACCAGAGCCAACAGGAAATGTCCTCACTTCTGCAGCCGGGGGGGGGAGATGACCCACTCTCCTTAGGAGACGGTCTCCATTACCTGTGGACTCACAACTTCCTGTACCTCTCCCCCCCCACCTCTTCTTACCAGCGTAGTTTGGAAGATTCTGGTGGACAAAGCTAATTGCATCCTTATAACTCCGTGGTGGCCAAGGCAACCCAGGTTCCCAGTGTTATTGGCCCTGGCCAAAGGATGTTATTACCATTTCCAAGCAGCTCCTGACCTCCTTCTACTATTGGACAGTCCACTTCTCTTCCACAACATACCGAGGTTGAAACTAACTGCTTGGAGGCTGCTCCCACCTGCTTCTCTGACCGTGTAGTAGAGGTTCTCCTTAATTCCCGTAAAGCCTCCACCCGCAGATCTTACAGTTACAAATGGGACAAATTCTGTTCTTTCCTTGGAGCGTCGCAACCTTCACCCTCTACTGCTGTGTTGCCACGCATTTTTGAATTTCTGCTCTCCCTAGCTGACGCCGGGCTGTCGCACTCTTCCATTAGAGTGTACTTATCTTCCATCTCTGTGTTTCATGACTGGATGGACAGTTTTTCCATTTTCTGCCACCCACTGTCCAAGCCTTTTTTACGGGGTCTTCTTCACTTGTACCCTCCGATTAAATGGCCTGCTCAGATGTGGGATCTCCCCCTCATCTTATGTCAGCTCACTAGAAAACCCTTCGAACTGCTCACAACTTGTGAGTTGAAGCATCGCGCTTGGAAAACGGTTTTCCTGGTTGCCGTAACTTTTCCTGGTTGCCTTGCGTTTCGACATGACCCACCGTATCTCTGTTGCTTAGCAAATGGTGTTCGGTTGGTGCCTGATGTCTCCTTTCTTCCCAAGGTTATATCTGAGTTCCATCAGCAGGCAGAAGTGTTTCTGCCAGACTTTTTTCCTGTTCCTGGAACTGACGAAGAACGCCTTCTTCACACATTGAATGTTCGGCGTGCTCTTCTATTTTACTTAAGCCGAACAAAACAATGCCAGCAAAGTCCACGTTTGTTTGTGGCCTACGCTACGCATAGGACAGGGACTGTGATTACAGCTCAACGACTTTCTAGATGGATCGTTGAACTCATCTGCCTTTGTTACCTTTTGGCCAAAAGCCCATTCCCTGGCCTGATTCGTGCACATTCCACTAGGGCTGTAACGATGTCCACGGCCTTCCGCAAGGGTGTCTCTCTTACAGACATTTGCAGGGCGGCTACATGGGCGACACAAAATACTTTCACCAAGCACTATGCATTAGATGTTCGAACTTCAAGACGGACCGAGATGGGTCGCCTTATCCTTTCTGCCACTTCGCATTGACAGCCTGCCAGCACCCTCCTCCAGGTAGGCTACTGCTTGCTACTCTCCCATGGGTGTGAAGCACAGAGACCACGTTGAAGATAAATAGGTTGCTTACCTGTAACTGATGATCTTCAAGTGGTCATCTGTGCATTCACACTGCCCACCCATCCTTCCCCTGTGCTGCCAGGCATGCTTTCATTTTAATCTGGTTTGCAGCGGTCAGAAGGAACTGGTGGGATGTCCATGCCCCACCCCTCTGGGCATGCATGGTTGTGGTTTCTGCGCATGCCTGAGGAGCTGGCATGAAAATCCATTAGAGCTTTCTACAATACCGACAGGTTCAGTGTAGGTGCACTAAACCCATGGGTGTGGATGCACAGATAAGCACTCGAAGATCATCAGTTACAGGTAAGCAACCTGTTTTTCACACTAGACATTATATAGGAGGTTAAAAAATGAATTTTGAAAAAAATGACTGCCATAGGGCAAAATTATCAACTTGCTTCCAGTGGGCTATAATACTGCTATAGAAAGTAAATGATGTTAAAGGAAAGTGAGGTACAAACACCCCACAAATAAGTCACAATGGGTAAATATTTCAGGGGGGGGAATTACCAAAGTAACAGTGGGAACCCATGGAAAATTCCCACTAACCAAAACGGGGCATGATTTTTGCTGATTACCTCTAATGCTGCAGACCAACACCCCCATGCTCACCCTGTCCCACAGGAGCAGCATTTCAGGGGTATTTTGGGCTGTAGCAGCAGGGGAGGGAAGCCCCACCCCAATGATAAAGTTCCCTTCCATTAGCAGAGATTTTCCACAAGAGTCAGGCCTAAGACTTAATACTGCAGTTGCTATCCTGCACATTAAAAAAGATCTGAGGAGAGAGAATTGTGAAGACTGATCCACATGTCTAGGAAGGCTGATTCCCCCTCCCATGTTCTACCAGTTCTGCTTTATTCTCTTCAATGCAACTATCATGCAGCTACACTGCCATCTTAAATTGGGGAAATCAGAAGAATCTATTCTTGAGAGCTAAGTGAATTCCCCACTTTAGAGCTAACTGAGAATTCAAACAGCACTGGGGCTCCTGAGGAGCAATCAGCACTGCCTGGTGCAACTGCAGGTTTTCAGTCAAGAAGTGGAAAGGGGGCTCTGACAATTATAATTGTCTTCTAGTTGTCAACAAGTGAACTCCATCAGTCACTCACTGAACCTGTTTGTGCTCTTTTTTTAATTGCCAAGATGTTTCTCTGTAAAACAAGATGAGATGTTTTAACTCCACACAACAGCAATGAAGTTAAGTTCACAGCGCACTGGCACCTCATTAAGGTGGTCAAGCATGACCAAACCTTACACCATGGCCTACAGATCTGCTTTCCACACGTGTCTTTTTTTGGGGGTATAAAAAATTAAGAGATTTGGAGGTGTACTACCTTGCTATATGACAGGCTCCCTGAACTGGTTTTGGTAGTGCTGAGTACTCTGGGTGATTTCAGCTTTCATATTGAGGTCATACTGAGAGATACAGACCAAGACCTTGTGGTGGTCATGATAAACAATCTACCCCTATCTAAGCCAACGAATGTTGATGACCGTATTGCTTTGATTTTTAGTTGTGAGTAGATAGAGGCTGCTCCGTGGATGTAGACATCTAGTTTGTTTCCACGTTCATGGATATCACCATTTCGTTTTGAACTAAATCTGACCGTGAGTGGGTGTTCAACACACCAGGGCATAAGGGCTAATAAGGAGGAGAGGAAGGATTTCAAACTCAAAAACAAGACTGACATGTGGCCTAGCCTCTAAACATACTAATGTTTCCTTATTAGGCCTGGAATCACTGACTTAGAAAGTAAGATCTGTTTTATTTTACAGTGACTTCTAAGACATATATACATCCCTTTCTTTGAAGACGTTACTTACGCGGTGCATGGTGTACAACCCACTGTGTTCTCTGATGTTGCCTTACAGCAAAGCCAGTTCCCATTCAAGAAAGCAGAGGGATGGTAAACACTCAGTCTCCTTTGGTTGCATCTGCTTACCCGGCAGAGAGCTTCAATCCACTCACTAGCTTCCACACAATTATTTGCTTGCACATAAAGGGTTTTTTCAACATGTATCACTTGAAACATCTGAAAAAAGCGAAGACCCTTTTTCATTAAGCTACTAGCTGTATATATATTGTGCACAATATATTTATTTTTGGCAAGTATTTCAAAACAGAACTTACGTTTTTCTTGTTAAAGGCACTCTCATCAAGTTTTTCCACTGCAAGGATGTTTCTAACTGGAACACTGTAAATTGGTTCCTTATCTGTGTAAATAATTAACAAATTACTATAAGCCAGCAAACCATCATAACCACTGCTAATGATCTTGCTTTAGATAGGCTGGAAAACTGGGCTAAAACTAATAAAATGAATTTCAACGGGGATAAATGTAAAGTTCTGCATTTAGGTATGAATAATCAAATGCATAATTATAGGTTGGGGGAAACTTGTCTTGGCAGTAGTATGTGTGAAAAGAATCTAGGGGTCTTAGTAGACCATACACTGAACATGAGCCAGTTGTGTGATGTGGTAACTAAAAAGGCAAATATGATTTTGGGCTGTATCAACTTAAGTTGACTCGGACAGAGGCTGCTGAGAGCATGCGCGGAGGCGCGAAGAGGTCCAGGCCTGGAGTTATGACTGCCGGAAAAAGACGGAAGTGCAAAGACCAGCGCTGTAGAAGGACTGCCGCCGGGACTGTCCCCCGCAAAAAGAAAGACCTGCTACAGAAGAAAGGGTGCCTGGTAGGTTTCTCACCTCCCTACTTACATGTGGCCCTAGACTAGGATGTGTTACTAATTAGAATTGTAAGCCGCTCAGAGCCCCTGGGGGTGTGTGAGCGGGATAGGAAATCGAATGAAATAAATAAATAAATAAGTATAGTGTCCAGATCACGCAAAGTGATAGTATCGCTGTACTCTGCTCTGGTTGGACCTCACCTAGAGTATTGTGTTCAGTTTTGGGCACCACAATTTAAGGAGAATATAGACAAGCTGGAATATGTGCAGAGGAGGGCAACAGAGATGGTGAGGAGTCTGGAGACCAAGTCCTGTGAGGAAAGGTTGAAGGAGCTCAGTATGTTTAGCCTGGAGAGGACATGACTGAGAGGTGATATGGTAACCATCTTCAAAGGCTGTCATATAAAGAATGGTGCGAAGTTATTTTCTGTTGCCCCAGGTCGGACCAGAACCAATGAGTTGAAATTAAATCAAAAGAGTTTTTTGGCTAAATATTAGGAAGAACTTTCTGACAGAGTGGTTCCTCAGTGGAACAGGCTTGCTCAGGAGGCTGTAGGCTCTCCTACTTTGGAGGTTTTTAAACAGAGGCTAGACGACTGTCTGACAGCAATGCTGATTCTGTGAACTTAGGCAGATCATGAGAGGGAGAGCAAGAAGGGCAAGGGCTGCATCAGTACTTAGTTCTTGTGGCCCTTTCTTACATAGCCAGGGAAATGCTGATCACTGCTTTGGGGTCAGGAAGCAATTTTCTTTAGGCCAGTTTGGCCAGGGATCCTGGAGGGATTTTTTTGCCATCCTCTGGGAATGGAGCAGAGGTCACTGGGGTGTTTGGGGAGAGGTAGTTGTGAATTTCCTGCATTGTGCAGGGGGTTGGACGAGATGACCCTGGAGGTCCTTTCCAACTCTATGATTCTATGACTCGAAGAGAATTATTAAGATACATGGAGGGATTGTGGTCCAGTGGGAAAACATTTGCTCTACATGCAGATCTTGTTCAATCCCTTGCACCTCTATTTTAAAAGGAAAGGCAGCAAGTGATGTGAAAAACCCTCTAACTGAGAGCTGCTGCAGGCAGAGTAGACAATACTGACCTTGAAATATCAGTGGTCTGACCCAGTATAAGGCAGCTTCATGTTTCCTTATGGAGTCCAAATTGGACCAGATAGGAGCAATATTACAAGCAAAAATCATACAAGCATGTCCCACTAAATTATCAAGGTTAATTCTCCGAGGATTCTAGCCAACAGGCCTTGAACACTCAGAAGAGTTCTCCAGGACATGACTCATCTCAAGCAATGGTAGCAAGAAATAAGCACTTCTTTGTCACCACCCCTTCTGCCTCATAAGCCTTCCAATGGGCTCTACAGCATGTCCTTTCTTTCACTATCAATCCAGATGCTGCCCAACCAATTGAATTTGCCCCAGCTCTGCTGTAGGGCAGGGGAGGGATTGGGGAGAATGCTACGGATGGCAATAGCAGATGATGCAGAGCAGCCTCATCTATAGCGTCTGTCAACCCTATATTCCACAACAAGAAGAGGGCATCTTCAGGGAATTCACAAAACTCACAGTGTCTTTTGAGTCTGAGAGCAGATCATAGGGATTCACCATCCCTACAGAGGGAGCCAATCATGTATAAAATGTGCCTTTAGCAGATGAGTTAATCCAGAATGTGCCTTTGTTTGTGTTCAGGGCTCAAAACAATTTGAGCCAGTCCTAGAGTTTGAACTGCACCCATGATGCCCTGAGTGCTACTTGATAAGGTCTCCACCGAGCAGTTGGTCTCTCTGGAAAATAAATATGGGGGCCTCCAATACATGCTGATTGAGCACCATCAGCTGAACAGTTAAGCAGACACCACCAGGATAATTCTCTATATGTCTGTGGAACCCAACAGAAGAAACACAGAATTTACCCTGGATATCTTTGAAAGTTGGAGGCCGACAGTGGGCCACAGCTACACTCCCTCTCTGTCCTCAGTACCAAAGTTGATGATGCTCAAGTCACACACTGTAACCACTTCTGTCATTCAGCCATCTTTCAATAAAACAGGCTAGGTCAATCTCTTCTAAGATTGTCTCATAACAAGAGAATCTTATTTTTCCCCACTGAACTTGTGTTTACTGATAGGAATGGGCACAAACTGGAAAACTATGGTTTGGTTCAGGGTTCGTGGCGTGCCCAGTTCATGAACTACAAACCGCCACAAACTTTTCATGGGTAAACAAACCAGTTCAGCTCATGATGTGGCAGAACAGCCCCCCTGCCGCGCTAGAGACACCAAATTTACAGGGGATCTCTGGCTGACTCTCCTCTACCTGCCCTCCAAGTTTGGAGAGGACTGGATTTACGGGGTCCACATTACAGCCCCCCAAAGAAGATGCCTGTAATGATTCCATGTTTTGGTGTGTGTGTGTCTTTAAATGTTGAGTTTGACTGCAGTACTGTAAGAAGAGTGATAGAGGGAGACAAGTGTGATTTGATTGGCTGATGACTGAGTGTGGGAGGAGATGTTTTGAGAGGAATCTGTGTGTGTGTTTTATGACAAAGTTCAGTGTATGGGTCTTTGGAAAGTGAAGTGTGGAAGAGCTATGAAGAGGGTCTGTGTGACTCTAAAAGTTTTGTGAGAGAGTCTATATGGCAAAGAAACGAGTAGTGTCTAAACTGTGTGGTTAGACAACTGTTTTATCTTGTTTGCCTAAGACAAAGAGCTTAGCCAGTGTGGCTACCTATATAAGAGAGAGAAGCCTGTCAGCGTGGAATTTTGGTGTCTGAGAGCCTGTGTGTGACACCTTGCCAGTTCCTTTTTCCAGAAACAGTTCAAGATAGCCACAAACCTATTTTGCTCTTTATTCAATAAATCAGTTTTTGTTTAAACATATCCAAGAAATCAGTACAGTCCTTCCTCAGGACCACATAGTCCTCTGAAGTGCCCAGACCCTGGGTCATACTACCAAAAGAGAGAGAAATTGGAATTTAATTTTTAATTCCTGGTGGCAGCAGAAAACTACCACGTTTATATACACAGAGGGTGGTTTAAAGGAAAAGCAGTCTCGCCCAAATAGCAAGCACACCACAGTGCCCCCATCCTCTATTGTTTCCAATAGACTAAGGTCAAACCCGAGAATCTCTCAGTAGAAACTGAAGGCTGGAGAACTCCACTCCCACTTTTGCTTGGAAAACAAGTTGACTGATTGGAGACAGTTTGTCTGCAAAGTGTAGCCATTTACAAACCACCCACAAACTGTGCTAAAAGTTTGTGGCAAATCGTGATGATAGTGATGCTCATGAACATCATGTCGTGAACCACAAACTGGCCCAAATTCATCAAGAACTTTAGTTTGTGAGCCAGTTTGTGCCATCCCTATTTACCAACATGAAGGATGGGAGAGAGGGAGGATCTGAATTAGCAGCACTCATACTCCTTTGCATTGAATGGAGATTACACTACATTATGTCTAATCTAAACACAAATACAAGGTCACATATTCAGCCCACAGCATCTTCCGTTAACAGGGTCAGGTACACTGTAATATGTAGGACCTCTGTGAGAGACCCTGGAGAGCTGCTGCCTGTCAGGGTAGACAACAATGACCTTGGTATACTGCATCAGACCACTGGTCAAAGGCACTATCATATAGCAACATACTGTAATTAACTCAATTAACTTGCAACAGAAGAACAGTTTACACAAATCTGCAAACAGACAGGCCATATTATATAACTTGAAATACTAGCATCACAAAAAGCAGTACTTCTACCTTGTTGCTTGTGATATGTGAGCTCTCTACTGGTAAGACAGAACCAGCGTTTCTTGAAATTTTTTTTCCCAATACGAGTTCTTCCTTGTGCTCTTTTGTACATTTCCCTGTGGGGAAAAAACACAAAAGAGAAACATGTGGGATACTTTCTTTCGTGTAAAATTTTTTCAGAGTTTCCAAATGAGGCCAAACACATCCAAATTAGAGGGATGCAACTTAAAATGTGCAATTTCTATATGTATGAGAAGGCAACCTTGTCTAGGAATCGGCAACTGTCCAAACAACACTTAAGGATACTTAGAACTGGAGCATTAACTGAAAGTGTATATAGCAATGGATCCATGATGGCATGTGAATGCATGAACTGGAAGTCAATTAAAAGTTTAATTCATTTGAAGGATTTATATGCCAGTATTTTCCTAATTCAACATTCAAAGCAAAATAGAAAAAGACCAATTAAAAGGAAGTGATAATCTGATCTCATCAGATCTCAGAAGCTAAGCGAGGGTTGGCCCTGGCTAGTATCTGGATGGGAGACCTTCAAGGAATACCAGGGTCATGAGGCAGAGGCAGGCAATAGCAAACCACCTCTGAACGTCTCTTCCCTTGAAACCCCTACAAAGTCACCATAAGTCAGTTGTGACTGGATGGCACTTTCCACCACCATGTAATACAGCAAGCAAGCTCAATAGCAGCAAACAGCAGCTGGATGGTCCCAGACTGTTAGTTAGCCTTCTGAAATCTGGGAGAACAGAATGCAAGTCTTTCAAATGGGTTTAGTTTATAGGAGATACTGCTCTTCCTGGATACAAAGGAATAGGTTTGCTCACCCTGTTCCACTTCATCAGCAGTTTTAAAAGAGGAAGCATGAAAAACATCACAGTTCTGAGAAATTGTAACCTCTTTCCATCTTTAATCTACAGAAAGTGTGGTGGTAGAGAACAGGCAATGACAATGCAAAAACATGAAAAAGTTTGAGTCCATCTGAAGAAGTGCACTTGTACACGAAAGCTTATACCTTGAATAAAACTTTGTTGGTCTTAAAGGTGCCACTGGACTCAAACTTTGTTTTAATGCTTCAAACCAACATGACTATCCACCTGTACCAATACAAGAACATGGCACTGTACTGTGTATGCATCTGTGAAAATATATTCCTTTGTATAGACCTTTATGTTAAGCCGCAGTGCTACTGCTTCAGGGAGACTTTGTGCCCCAACAGGCAGTAGGTGCGTGTATTCAGCTTCCCTGAACTGAAACCCCCCCTCCAATAAATGCCTTCTCAGTATTCCTATTTGGTATTTCTAGTCCTCTGTGGCTTCCCTAGTAAAGTTCACTCCTCGCCAGTCAGCTGTTAGGTTTAAGCCATTTAAACCTAACAGCTGACAGGCCAGTAGAAGTGAAACTGATCAGGGAAAGCCTCCTCTCTCTGCCTTCCCTTCTCCAGCTGCCCCAGTGCTGCTGGAGAAGGGCTGGCAGAGAATGCAGGCATGTTTAAATGCTGAGTTTGGGGAGGGAAGGAAAGGCATTTAAACATGGCTGCGCTGAGTTCCCCCTTCCCTCCCCGAGTCTCTCCACAGCAGCAGAGAGGCTCAGGGAGCGAAGGAGGCATGCTAGAGAAGGGAAAGCGGAGAGAGGAGGCTTTCCCTGGTCAGTTTCACTCCCATGGCCTGTCTGCTATTAGGTTTAAATGGCTTAAACCAATCAGCTGACTGGTGAGGAGTGAAATTGACCAGGAAAGCTGTAGTGGCTTTGGAAGGGAAAGAAAGCATTTTATTTATTTAGTTAGTTAGATTTATACCCCACCCTCCCCACTGGAGCAAGCTCAGGGCTGCTTACATTAACACTTAAAACAGATTAAAATCATAAAACATTTATAAGGTGCTACATGTAAAATGCTACATATAGGATGGCGAGAACACAGTTTGAATATTAACCATAGTGGTTATAAAACTGCTGTCCAGACTCTGTAATATAATTTGTACAGGCACAGCACAGGCAGCCAGTGATAAATTCCTGGGTGCCGGCTCTTAAGTTTATACTGAACTGTTAAATGCAGTTCCTCAGTCGAATGCCTGGTGGAAGAGCTCCGTCTTGCAGGCCCTGCAGAATTGTAATTTTAACATGCCTCTCTTCCCTCCTTTTGGGCATATCAGGCCCGAATATATTTTGCAATACCAAATATTTTCCGGGTCTGATATACCCGAAGCCGAAAAATACCAACTTTTTTTTAGCACACCCCTAATAGCCAGGGAAGCAGAGGCTCTAGGCTATTTCAAAGGAAGCAGTCCAAAACAGGCAAAAATCACATGGTTAAGAAAAATGATAGGTCAATATACAATGTTTCATGTTTTAGTTACCCTTCTTTTAGATGCACTGGCTCACTCATGACATTTGGCTCTTTACTTTCCGTAGATGATACTTCATCTAAAAACTGAATACGGGTAACACAAAAATGTAAGTTATTTTTCAGACTTAATATAAGCATCCTTTATTAAACCCTAAAATATGCTTTTATTAATTTATGCTTTCAAAGCTTCTTCTGTATTTTCCCTTCATATTTGTGATTTTAATTATATAGTGTATTACAGGGCTTTTTTTGTAGAAAAGCCCAGCAGGAACTCATTAGCATAATAGGCCACACCCAACAGCAGAAACTCAGCATATTAGGCCACACCCCTGACAGTGCAGCTTATTAGCATATTAGGCCACTCCCCATGCCTTCCCCTGGCTTGCCCGGGCAAGCCGGCCCTTGGACAGGCCGGGGAAGGTATGGAAAAGCATTTAAATGCCTCTCCGATCCTTCCAGGGCTTCCCCTGGCCCGCCTGCCTCAGAGTTGCTGGGGGGGGGGTCGCTCTCCAGGCCTTCCCTTTGTAGCCACACATGCAGATGTTTTGGCTGTAGTGGGTGTGGCCAACTCTGAAGCCAGCCGGAACTCCATTCCTGCCCAAAAATAGCCCTGGTGTATTATATTTTTAACACATAACCCAACAGCGGGTTAACTCAATGGGGTATAAATTGGTAACATCTTGTGAGAGAAAGGGGCCTCTTGGGTTTATCTAATGGCTATAAATTGTTGGATAAAAAGGTAGCAGTGGTGGCCAGAGATGCCTTTCATTAGCCTTGGCCCTTCCTGGGTGGAAGAGATCTTTCTACTGTGGTGCATGCACTCTGGTAACATCTAGATTAGATTACTGTAATGTGCTCCATGTGGGGCTGCCCTTGAAGACTTTCCAGAAGCTGCAGTTGATACAGAATGCAGTGGCCAGAGTATTGATTGGAGTGGTTCTTAGGGACCATACCACTCCAGTCTTGTTCTTTCTACATTGGGTTCCAATTTGCTTCTGACCTTTAAAGCCCTGTATGGCCCAAGTTCAACATACCTTAAAGACCACCTCCCAATATGAATCTACCCATTCATTCTGGTCATCTTCAGAGGCCCTGCTTCCATTGCCCCCACCATCTGAGGCTAGGCAGGTGGCAACCTGAGAAAGGGTTTTCTTGATCATTGCACCAAAACTTTGGGACTTCCTCCTCAGGGAGATTTGTCTGTCTCCCTCTATTGGTGTCTTCCACCATTGGGTGAAGACTTTTTTGTTTTATTTGGCATACCTCCAGTAATGGTTACTGGCCCTCTTCCCTGGATGAAGTGTGACATAAATAAAAGTGTACTTCAAAAAACTCAGACATGCATAGATAAAATACCTTTTTGACAGCTTCAGTATATTCCTCTTCCTGAAACATTTTGAAAAATTCACACATAAATGACTCCTTGAAGCTTGACTGAAGAGAGAAGATGTATTTCAGTAAGACTTAGCAAAATGACATCAGAAACAAACGGACAAAAAAGAATAATTACACACTTACTAGCTTGCTTTTGGACAAACTTCCCCAGCTCCCCAGTGTTTGGATGGCTTTCGATATGAGGGTTAATGTTCTAGATGTCTGTGTATCCTAGAAGTAGCATCAGGGAAAGGAATAAGTAAAATGGATAGCTTACAGCAAAGATGGCAGAGTTAAACTGAAGAATGTGGCCAGCAAATATACTTTAACTGATATCATACTGTTATAATGAAAGAATAATATCTGCCAAGCACACAGTCTCCATGGCAGTAAGATTTACACAGGGCTCTCACATAAGCTTCACTGAGTTGAAGACAGCAGTGGTTCATAGACTACATCCAAATGTGCCTCAAAAGGATCACACATAATGGAAGACAGCTCCATACATTTATATTTGCTATATCCCCTCTCTACAAAAAAAAAAAAAGTAAACTAACTGTACAGAACAAAAAAAGCTTTTTAAAGACAACTCAAAGTCTCATATGTGATCAAGGCATTAACAGTATGTGCTGGTTTAATAGCTAGTATTAGACACTTAGAAGCTAGTACTTTGACATTTAAAAATTTAATCTGAGTAATCAAGGTTATTATGTTTTAATGTAACATTTAAAGAGCACATTAGACTATTTCTTATACTTCATACACAATTCCAAGTATTCATTCTAGAACATACTATATTTGAATATTTCTCTTAACACCTCTATGAATTTATGCCATACTAATGGAATTAGTATTAAACACAGCTTCTAATGCAGCAACTGATACTACACACTTAAATTACCATCTCTTCAGTAAGGCTTACACTAATTAGCTAACTAGAGACATACCATTGCCATACTTAGGTAACAAGTGTCTTGCAGACTAAGCAAAGACATGAGGGCCAAGAGTGAGCAGAGACAGCAGTGTGGATAGGTGGAAATGAGTTAATAGGAACAGTGCATATGTGCGTGGAGCTGAGAGCATTGAAAGCACCCTGCTCCCAGATCCTAGAGCAACTGGCACTATTCAGTGTCATTTAATTTAAAGACAAGTCATTGCTATATTAAGTAAAGTTTGCTAAATGTAAAATCTTGGATCCCAAAACTTTTAAATTCTGCTACAAAACATTCTTCATAAGAATGCTGTAGGAACTCCACTGAGCCAAGAAATGCACACCAATAATTCAATGAAGAACAGCAACAAAAAAGTATTTTGGAATGTTTTCCTTTCGGAAATTATTAGTACAGTCTTCTTGCTCTTGTCTTGACCATTTTATAATGCATTTATACTGGAATACACAATTCAATTTTGGTGACAGCTCATAATAGAAAAAGAATATGAGAATGAACCTGAAAGGCCACACTTCCTGTATTATGCACATATTCAGAAAGAAATATAACTGACGTAGACTGTCACAACTAGCACTTCCTACAAAGCTCTTAGCAAGGCTATCAGACAAGATCAGTTGTCAAAAATAAGAGACACTGCTTCTTACACTCTTCAGCACATTTTTCTTTTAAAAATGGAAAGGCTTCAAAATATGTTAACATGATCAGTTGTCAAAGTTGTATTTTAACCTTGCTGGTCTTGACTGTAATACATTTGAATTTCATCAGTGTAACCTATCTAGATATTTTCAGCTACGCTAGTTGCCCGCCTAGTGGCAAGTGCTTTCAAACATGACGATGGCACAGTGCAACGTTGATAGAGATAGTTACCTAGTGTTAATTTAGTAAATCTTGGTGGCCTGCAAGCTATTAGCTTTTTCTCTTCATCTTATAATACTAAATTAATTCCCATACATATCTTCCTAAACTGCCTGCAAAGTTTCAACAGAACATCATCAAAACTTACTGGATGGTGAGGTCGTAAATGGAAAGTATGAGGCGATACTACAGCTACAGCAAAGAAACGAAGAAACACAAAGCTGCTCACTGCAGAATACTGTACATGAGGGTCATCTGCAGAGAAAAACCATGAAATGTAAAATGTACTACAACTTAGTATGAAATGAAGACAGCGAAAGCCTTAGCAGGACATCGGACTGGATCCAAAACTTGTTTTCCACTGGTGGAATGGCACTCCACAGGGGTGTGTGGGATTTTTGCCAGTTCTCACTCCACCTAGTGCCCAGCACTGTTCTGAGTGATTCCTCTGAGTCTTGAGGAGCAGCATGCTGGAGGGTGTAGTAGGCTGTAGCAAGAGGAAAGAGGCAGGAAAGCTGTGTTCTGCAAGCAGAACTCAATTTGTGATGTAGTCTGGATCCAGCTCAATGTCAATAGGCAAGAATTAGCAGTTAGCATGAAATGACAGTATGGTTATGATGGAAGATGTGTTGCCATATATTATGTGCCATGTGTCAACCATTGTTGTTCAAGAAATACACTGTTCTAGTGGCTTTCAAAACAGAGCTATTTGCTTTCATCTATAAAAAGGGCAATTCTGTTTGGCGGCTGCATACAGTATATGCAGAAGCAATGTTTTACTTTTTCTACAAACTACCTGCTACAATTGTACAAAGGTAAGTAAATCAACAGTTACACAGCAGCAGTTCAAAATATTATTCATTAAAACATCTTAAAGCACCATCTATTTTTCCATAGTCCATTTCTTTTGCATCTTTTTTTTCCAAGTCTGCACTTTTGCATATTGGTGCTTTGATTCAGTAAGTATGCAGATTCTATTATGTCCAATAGTATCTAATGATAAAACACGTATGGTTTATATGTAGTCTAAAGAAGGCTAGCTTCTTTAGACAGCTATGCATATTAAAAAACCATTCAAGAGCTGCAGAATACAAGCTGCTGCTTCAGCCATTTCAGTTTCCAGATTCAATTCAATGGTAAAATTTTCATGAACTTCAACAGACTTTAGTAAGGTCTTACACCAATTCTAAACAAAAAATGCATACTTACTGGGAAATCTTTTAGCAGCCAAACTTCTCAGAGAGCAGAATGCATCACACATTACTGTAGGACAACTTATGCTTGACTGTACAATTGTACTGAATACTTTATCGACATAGTTGCGTAAGTTTTCCTGCAAGAACAATTTCAGAAAGTTGTGACTATATAAAACCTATGAGTTTTATCATATGAAGTATTATGGGTTTTATTCTACTTTCATCAAGAATTTTTAGAGCTGGGTATGGATCCAGACTGAATTTTTGAATGGCAGAACATACCTCTCCCTTCCCACTGCAGCACACTGATTACCATGAAATGCTGTTCCTGGGGAACAGGGGACCCTGAGCAATAACATGAAGGGGGTCTGCAGTGGAAAGGGGGAAATCAGTAGAAACAGCCACTATAGTCTGGATCCAACCCATGGTCCCCTTTCTCAAATAAAAACCTGTGAAACATGGCAAAGTAAATCAGACACCAATTTATAGTAAGAGAGCCCTAAAACACTCTTAAAACATACAGAAACTTTCTGGCATACACATATATACAAAGATTTGCCTACTCTAGATTGCTACACCAGCCGCAATATTTCTTAAGGAGCATGATTTGGCCAAAATGATACATGCAATGACCATATCCAGACTGTATTACTGCAATGAGCTCTACACAGAGCTCCTTTTGAAAACAGTTTGAAAGCTCCTGTTAATACAAAATGTGGCAGTTAGATTATCTGGAGCTCATTAAGGAGACCACATTATGCCAATGCTGAAGGAACTTCATTGGCTATTTATTTACTTTGGGGCACATTTCAAGGTGCTTATTATTAAGTTTAAAACCCTAACTGGCCTGGGACCAAGATCTCCTCCCATAAGATCTTCTGAACAGTCTCTTCCTTCTGTGTGCCCCAAGTTAAGTGGCTGGCCACAAGTGAGAGGGCCTTTCCCATGGCAGCGCCCCATTTGGGGAAACTTTCCTAGTATAGATAGTTTTATATGTTTTGTATGTACATTTTGTATGTTTTGGCCAGGCCATAGTTTTTAAAAGTGGTTCATTTGTTTGTGAAGCCAACTGGATGGAATCACTGAATTTTAACTCTGATTGATGTTAACTAGGTTTGGGGCTAATATTTTATTGCTGATTCTTGCATATTAAATTATCATACAGCAAAACTTTGATGAGATGGAGACTATTTGTCAATGTTTACCACTTACACAGCAGTCAGGGGTTATTAACTTACCAGCTAAGACCAAATACATCAATAATGACAGATATTACACATCCATACTACTTTTAGGGTACAATGTGGTATATAATTTCTCTCATGTCACTAGTATCCCCACTTTATCAAAGAACTGAGTAGGAGCAACTTCCAAAGCCACATAATGGACTGCTTGCTGCTAGGATCCGATCTCAAATTTATAAGGTCTTTCTACAATTCCACATAAATTCAGTTATTAATCCAGTGCTCTACATAAAGCAGTTAAAACAGAACATCTTGGCAAAGAGAAAATAATGAAGCAAGGGGAAGAAAAGGTTCTTAGTAATCTTATTTGTTACCAACAGCAAACATTACTATTTCCAAGTAAAGTTATATAAGCTACTGATATAAGCTTCTAAGTATAAACTGGAAAAAATTAATTACCTTGTGAATTTCAGTATTTTCAGCTTCTTTCAATTTCAGGCGATCAATTTCACAAGGCTTAGGATTGTCACATATCTGAAACAAAAATATAGTTTTGATTGGTTACTGGGCTGGAGATGAGAAGAAAAACAACGCCTTCCCATCCTATGATAACTGTGCCAAGGCCTACTGTTGCTAGCTTTTGGCAAGGCAGGCTACAGAGCATTTGTCCCATTTCCATAAAAGTTTCTAATATTCATCGTGGCATTTCAGTGTTGAATAGACTGACTCAAGTCCCTGTGAAATCTTTAGATTTATACATACCAGCTGTTAGTCTAATTAGATGGCTTGAAAAAGGTTAGAGTCAATTGTTCCCTAAAAAAACCTGCATGGTATTATTTACTACATATGGAATATTTTAAATAATTTAGAATTTTAAAAAAAAATCAGCTGGAGCTTTCCATTCTTGAAGATGGTTAAATTTTTTTTTGTATTACTATGTTGATATGGAAGTGTGACCACTTTGTAATACGATGAATAATATCTGAAGGAGGAATTATCCTCCTTCTTTTGTTATCCACTGTGTCAGCTCAGCTGTGCTTTACATGCACTTTTTCTTCTGATTTCTAGCTTTCTTTCCTTTAATATTTATATTCCATTTTCCCCATAATTCAAGACAAATTCTTCATACTTGAATGGAAAAAAAGAGAACAAAAGGGAACTCTGTCTTAATCCAAAACATTGTCAGGGTGGGAATTACGTCCATTCACCTAGTTTCTTCCTTCCATGTTTCTTATGTTGCAGAGGTACAACCACAAGAAGAATCTTTTACATCTATAATCAAACTTTTTTTCCCTCATGGTATGTGACCTGACTTCAGGTGGTAAAGTTAAATAATTTGTAAACCATTATTCTGATTACCAACTATTAGTGACAGCCTCCAATACTGTACAAAAGATGGAGGAGATCCTTTGTTTCCAGCTCTCCCCCCCCCCCCATTATTGAACTATAGATACAGATGGGTGGAAGGTCAGGAGATAATGCTGTCATATGGACATGAGGTGTGCATGCATACATGGACAGCACAGAGTAGACATTTCCAACCACCTACACAGGCAAGTCTTCTTCAGCCATCAATAGCCTTCATCATGTGCAAACAGTATGCTTGCTGTTCAAAAACACAGCCTCCATGCCAAGTGTTCCAAACAAATGTTGTCATTTTTAACAATTATGTGGAAAGCCAATATTACTACATTCTCCTGGAGGCTGCCAAGAACTTTTTCCTGACCAGCATAGCAATGCCTTTTATGTATAACAGCAACCACAGATTTCTGCAATATATGAAGCAGCCTTTATACACAAAAATGAGTGGCTCTTGTCACTGCCTGATAAGTAAGAAATAACCTTGTCCTGAATAACTGGGCAATACAACAGAAACTACAGTTGCCCACATAGGTCCTCAAACTGCTATTGAGTTCATCCCTTCAAATTCATTTTGTTAGTGAGGAGAACAGACATTTTCTAGACAGGAGAAAAATATGCTTTCAACAGATGTTAAAATATACAGGAAAGAAAGCAGCTGTAGTTGAAGAGATGCTTTATTAAGAGGATTCTGATATGGGGATCATGAGCATCAGGATACGATCCAGGCTTTATATGCAGACTAGAAATACAATACATATACTTGAGATTTTTTTCAGCATACCCAATACACTACCAAGCATAATACTCTATACCTCATCTAGAACTGGTTTTAAGGTAACTTTCAGGTAGTGCTTTCCCACTATTTTCATCATCTCATCCAGGCATCGAGTAACTGAAGAATTTCCTCTGAAGATCGTATTCGCTTCTCTGTAATACAAATTGAATAAATGTTCAGGACAGAAGTCTTAAAATAAACAAGAGAGTTTCTGCTGATAAGTTTCCAGAAACTTTTATACAGTATTAAGAAAGTTTTTAAAATTAATCTTTAATATTGCAAAGCTATACTCAAACAGTGCCAAATGATTGTCTAGCTTCAAGTTATCTCTATATTGAACTATACACAAAAAGCCATTCTGTGCAATATAAGCACAACTGATTGTAATCAACAATAGGAAAAGCAGATTTATTCACTATTAAAGCAAGCTTTTAAAAACAGAACACACATCATCTGATGTATTCTTTTCCCAACACACTTATTATATATTTTTATTTATTATATCCTGTCCTCTCCCGCAAGTGGGCTCAGGGCGGGTCACAACATAAATCTAACAATAAAACAACATTCTAAAACCATAGCTGTAAGAGTCCAGATAGCGAGCCAATAATAATCCATTGTGCTACTTGTAAACTTCTATAATGCCATTTTAAAATATGAACAAGAATTTTTAAAAAGACAACATGATTTGCCTTATATATAGATACCGAGAATATCAAATAAAGTGAAGATGACAAACAGTGCTGGATGAAATAAAATTACCCAGAACTATAGGGAAAAGCACATATACCTTTTAATCTTCTGCCAAAAAAATTACAATTCCTGTTGGCAGAATTTCATAGAAAAGATTGTATGACAAGCCTCATGCAGATTTGCACACGCTGCAGATAAAAATATTGAGTGGAGTGAGAAGAAAAAAATCAAACACTTACTGGGTATCCTTCAGTTCTAATTCTGCCACTGCAGTGATAAACTGTACTAGTTTATGATGATGAAGCAACAATCGTACAAGAGGTATAATGGTATCATATTTATCACGACACACTTCAGCCAAAATGTAAGCAGCAGAAGCAGATATTGGCTATAAAAAAGGGAAAAGACAAATATCTGTTATGTTGATCTGAAAAGAGTAATACAAAGTTAAGAATATAAATCTCAAAATATAGAAATTAAGATTTGTAATTTGGCGTTGAAGTTACTTCTATAGAACACTCTTAAAATTGAATCTAAGACATTTGCCATTCATTAGTAACTACCCCAAAGTCACAACATACATTTGTGTTCCAGATCTCTTCGATGTCAGAACAGCTTACCATGATGTTCCCTTCTGCTTAGCTGAAAGGAGAGCTAGTACAAAGTTTCTGTTGTCCATACAGAAGAAAAACAGCAAACTCATCCAATCCACAGAGAAACACCCCCCCCCAGTTTTACAAAAGGCCTTCTGCCAACAAGCAATCACTTTTAAAAAGTCTAGGCAAAATTAAATTTCAAGCACCCAAACATGGGCAAACAGTGACCTCACAAAAATGACAGGATAGTGGGAGCTCCTTAGGGTCAAGTACTAGCTGTCCAAAGTAATGGGAACCTCTGCAAATTTGATCATGCTTTTCTACCCCCGTTTCCAGGAAGTACTGTTTGGATCTTCTTGCTCTTTTACTTGTTGAGCAAACAGGAATCTCATAATAAGCCACTGGATTTAAATGTAATAGCATACAGTAAAGCAAGAGTAGTATCCATGCCTACATCCCAAAGATGTAACAGGCAAACAGACTGGAGGATGCTAACTATATTACTTCACTGAATGTATTTAAACATCTAACAGAAACCCAAAATGTATCACTCAGTCTGAATGTCAACTGCTGAATGGCAGCCTTCACATGTCCCCTTCATCTTCAGTCTTTCAGCTTTCCTGCCACGTAACAACTTTCCTTCTTGCTGAATTTTGATGTGTTGCCAATCATTTTCTTCTCGTCCTGTCTTCTCAGATCCCCCTTAAAACTCCTCTTTCACACTGTCAACAATTTCTCACTTGTCCATGCCCCAACATTCTACACCTTCACCTATGCATTACATGAATCCTGAAAGTACCTGGTGGTGAAACCACTCCCAGGAGAAACAGTATATTCTGTAAAGATTTATCAATGCAGAGATTGTGGTCTAAGAGACAGCCTTACTTTAGAGAGCGTTTGATGCTCAAAAGTAACTTGAGTGGCTACAAAATTGGCACAGCAACTGAAAGGCAATGTATTCTATGACCCCCCCCCCCCCGGACAACTGTGAATCCAATAACCTTTGCCCCTTGGTAGCCAGTCCTGCAGGATGCAAACATGCCCTTTAAAATGCCAGAATTTGTGTGACCTTATATAAAGCCAGTAGGGGATACCACATATCCACAATTTCTCTTTTGTGCAGGGAAGACTGGGGCAGAAATTCTGTAAAATTAGTTCAAATCCAGTGAAGCAAATAAATCTATATATCTATCTCTGATATAAACAGATCAGTGTGCAGAACACTGCTGTCCATCTTCATAGTTCTTTCACAATGGAAAGGGTCCCAATTCACAAAACCCACTGGCAGAGTTGAGGGTCAACTGTGACACAGCCTTGCATGAATGCTCTATTATCAGAATGGGTTTCAGAGCTACAAACACGAATCATTTATGTATTGGTAACCCAATACTGGAGAATGTAAGGGAACTCCCTTAGAAAAGTCAAATATGGAAAAGTTCCAACAGAGAAAACTCTACTGATTGTTGTAGTGTGGTTGTAGCTTGCTTGCTGAATGACTCCCTAATCATTCACAAATTTCAGACTTGTTCAGCTAAGGCTGAGTGAACCGTCCCTGGGGAGAGAGGCCAGCTTGGATCTGAAATGGCCAGGGGCTAGCCATTTTAACATCTCTTATTTGAAAGCCAAGGACTCCATGTCCCTTTCTGACTGAAAATCATTTACAAAACCTGTATCCCACCTTTCTGCACTTACTATGGCCACCATGGCAGCTAGCAATTTAAAACATACATGATAAAATCACATTTTAAAACCATTAAAACCAACCCCCCAACACAAATCAAAAACAGCATTAAAATACGAACAAAGCATAAAAACAGCAATTAAAACCTTGGTTAGGAAGGAGGGATCATTGAGGGAATGCCAGATGAAGCAAAAACATTACTTCTGCCATCAAAGTCTCATTCCTTTCACAGGGATTTTGTCAACAGGAGTAGATGAGGCTTCTTTGGCTAAAACTAGACAATTCCTTCAAAGGATTTGAGAAATAAATCATGCAGTAACCCTAACTTTTGGAATACATAACTTGATGGCATAGCCCTTTAAAAGAATCTCCAGCACCAGGAATGGTGGCAAATATTTTTTATCAATGATCTAGATGAAGGGGTAGAAGGGCTACTCATTAAATTTGCTGATGATGCCAAATTGGGAGGAGTAACAAACACCCAAGTAGAGTTAAAATTCAACAAGATTTGAATACTCTAGAGAACAGGATGCAATTCAACAAGGATAAATGCACGGTATTACATCTGGGCCACAAAAAGGTCAAGCACAAATACTGGATGGGGGATACGTTTCTGGGGAGTAGTGTATGCAAAAGAGATCTTGGGGTAAGAGTGGACTGTAAACTAAATATGAGCAGTCAGTGTGATGCGGTGGCAAAAAAGGCAAATTCAGTCTTGGGTTGTATTAAAACGGCCATAGCATCGAAATCGCAGGCGGTCATAGCCCCTCTGTATACTGCCTTGGTCAGGCTGCACCTGAAGTCCTAAGTGCAGTTCTGGAGGCCTCACTTCAAAAAGGATGTGGACAAAATCAAGAGGGTGCAGAAGAGAGCAACGAGGATGATCAGGGGTCTGGAGACTGAGTCGTACAAGGAAAGACTAAGGGCCTTGGGAAAGAAGATGAGATTGAGGGGGGACATGATTGCTCTCTTTAAATATTTGAAAGGTTGTCACTTGGAGGAGGGCAAGGAGCTGTTCCAGTTGGCAGCAGAGGATAGGACCCGAAGCAATGAGTTTCAGTTACATGCAGAAAGGTATTGGCTGGATATTAGGAAAAACTTTTTCACGGTCAGATGGTTCAAAGGTGGAATCAGCTGCCTAGAGAGGTGGTTAGCTCCCCTTCACTGACAGCTTTCAAGAAGAGGCTTGACGAATATTTGACAGAGATGCTTTAGGCTGGTCCTGCACTGGGCAGGGGGTTGGACTAGATGATCTGCATGGCCCCTTCCAACTCTATGATTCTGTGATTCTAAATCCTTGCTGGTTTTGCCTCCTTAAGTACTAGCTCCTGGTTTAGGACCTTAAGAGGAGAGAATCTATGGACAGCCACCCCCACTCCTGTCTGTGAGCTTTATCCTTCTAGTTCTGGCTCAATATTGCAGCCACAACTTTTATAACTTGGAGAGGAATTCACTGTAAAATCCTCAGTGGATTTACCCTATTATTGGAGAGAGTATCAGGTGGGTCAAATTGGGATCAGCCCATCAGTGTGATACAGGACATGAAGAAATAAGGAGACTTGGCTGAGCATTACTGAAGGTCCTATTCTATCAGGAACATGCCTTGCCTCAGTTGGGGGGGGGGCAGAGAAGAGCAGAGGCTGACAAGAACAAAAATCTGACTAGAAGCCATAGTGGTCCACACTCAGAGAGTGGATCTTCATAGTACTTCCCCCATCTAAATGCCTAAGCACATTAGATGCAGAGGGGACACAGGCTGGCTGACAAAAGCTGCTGTTTTGAATAAGCTGATTCTGCCCAAGCTCAGGAACTGCAAAGCTACCCTGCTTTCCAATAGAGGACAGGTCCAGCCCTGGGAAGGTTGTCTTGAATAACTGGGTCATCAGATTTGCCAAGCCTGCCTCCTGACAGAGGAAGAGCTTATCTTTTGCAGTCTCTACTGTCTTGCTGGCTGACTAAGAATGTACTGCAGTTACTGAATCCACTATGGGCAGAAAAGAATGATCAAACTGGGTTCTGAAGTTACAGCACACTTGTTAGAGAGAATAAAGCAGATCTTCTTCGTGGTCTCTGTGCTTCACACCAATGGGTCTAGTGCGCCTGCGCTGGATCAAATCGGTGCTGTAGCAAGCTCTCTACAAGGATTTTCGCGCCCATCCCCTCAGGCAAGCGCAGGACCCACTGCGCATGCCCAAGGGGGCGGGCGCGGACATCCCACCAGTTCTTTTCCTACCGCCGCGTTGGAAGGACTTCTTTTACTTCGCTCCGTTCGGATCGCTGTTTTTTGCTCTCAGTACTTTGTTTTTGGTTTCTTTTAAGGAACCGCCTCTTTTTATTTCTTATTTTGTGTGTTTATTCAAAAAAAAAAAAAAAAAGGACTTTGTAGTTTCGTTTTGGTGAGGGGATTTTTACCTCAGACCTTCGGGTCTCTGAGGTGATTTTTTCCAGGCTGTTTAGCCTTTCCTCCCCCCCCCCCCCCGAAAAAAAGGGAAAGAAGTGGGGCTTTTTCAAACGCTGTAAGCGTTGTGGAAGCAAATTGGCACCCCCAGACGGACATAGTTTTTGCCTCCTCTGCTTGGGCGAATCTCATAAGCCAGAGACTTGTCCACATTGTGCTAAGTTCAGCAATCAAACGAAGAAGAATAGAGCTGCTCGTCTTAAAGTGGCGCTCTTGGAGTCAGCCCTCAATCCGGCACCCGCAATGGAAGGTCAGTCTTCTACACAGCGTGAGGCGATCGACACCGAACCATCGACATCGAAGCACTCGGCGTCGAAGAAGT